CAACCACAACTAACACTTCAGGCAAGTCCCTACTTCCTACCTACCACCAGAGCAACCACAACTACCACTTCAGGCAAGTCCTTACTTCCTACCTACCGCCATAACAACCACAACTGCCTATTTAAGGAACCTCAAACACCCATCTATCACGACAACAACCCCGACAGCCTCATTCCGACCCTCTTCCGACTGCCGATTCAACCCTACCCGACCACCAGAATCTCGAAGACTCTCTCCTTCATTACTCTTCCCAGACACTTCCTTCCTCCCCTTCCCCTCTCCCCGTTCTTTTCCCTCCCTCCCCCTCTTTCATTCCCTTCCCCCGTTTCCCCTCCCTTCCCTCTCCCTATTCCCTACCCTTCCCCCTTCCCTCCATCCCCCTCTTCCCTTCCCCCGTTTCCCTCCCTCCCCCTCTTCCCTTCCCCCCCTTCCCCCTCCTTCCCTTCCCTTCCCCCTCCTTCCCTCCCTTCCTCCTTCCTTCCTTCCCCTTCCCTTCCCTTCCCTTCCCTCCCCTCTTCTCCCTCCCTCTCTCTTCCTTCCCTCCCTCCCCCTCTTCCCTTCCCTCCCACCCCCTCTTCCCTTTCCCCTTCCCTCCCTCTCCCCGTGTCTTCCCGAAGGCCTCTAGCGGTAAAAGCAATTCTAGCTCCGGAAATTTGCAGTGAAGGATTTTAATGCCCGCCGCGTAGGACAAGGACGCGGGCAAAGGACGCTGAAGCCTTGGGCGTGGGGTCGGTGGTGGGAGCGGTGGGTGTGGGGGAGGGGGGGGGTTCCTGAAGAAAGGGGTGAGGCTAGGAGGTGTCTCTTTCTTTTCTTTTTTTTTTTTTTCTTCTTCATTCTCTTTTCAATGCTCTCTCTCTCTCTCTCTCTCTCTCTCTCTTCTCTCTCTCTCTCTCTCTCTCTCTCTCTCTCTCCTCTCTCTCTCTCTCTCTCTCTCTCTTTCTTTCTTTCACACACGCACACACGCACACACACACTCACACACACGCACACACACACACACACACACACACACACACACACACACACACACACACACACACACATACACACACACGCACACGCACACACACACACGCACACACCACACACACACACACTGTCTTCTATGTCTGTCAACCTGTTTCTAACTACCTGTACATCATTTATCTATTCTACTTCTTGTTATACCTCTCCCCATTAGGTTCGACTATACTCTATAAATCATACAGAGAAATATATACTTTTCTTGAAACTTTAACGTAGCACATTTTGATTCCATTAGTCGAGAGCAATATGAAATTTCGTTTTTAGACTCATCTTTCTTTATTTTCTCCTTCAAAGGGTCGAGACGGGAAAAAAAATTGTCGTTAGTTTTGGCCTTCGGGCTATGGCAGTGTAAGGGGGGGGGAAGGGGGAAGGGGAAGGGAGGAAAGGGGAAAAAAGGGGGGCTGCTGATTTTTCCTTCGTTTACCCCTTCCTATCGCTTAGTCTATAAACCCCCTTTTTTTCTTTCCCTCTTCCCCCCCCCCCTCTGCATCATCCTCATAACCTGTCCTTTCATGTGTCTGTCTGTAACCCCTTTTCCCTCTTATTCACCCTTTTCCCTTTCCCCCTCATTTTATTAGTGTCCCTCTTCTCCCCCCTTCGCTCTCCCTCCTGACGCTCACTCCCCTCAATACTTCCCCCTTTTATCTCGACACCCTGTCACGCTATAGTGATTCTTCTTACCCTCTCTCACCCCTTTCACTTGCATGAGGTTTCCCTTCCCTCCCTCCTCTCTCTCTCTCTCTCTTTCTCGCTTTCTCGCTCGCTCGCTTTCTCTGTCTCTCTCTCTCTCTTTCTCTTCTCGTTCGCTTGCTTCTCTTTCTCTCTTGTCTCTGTCTGTCTGCCTCTCTCTCTCTGTCTCTCTCTCTCTCTTCTCTCTCTCTCTCTCTTCTCTCTCTCTCTCTCTCTCTTCTCTTTCTCGTTCGCTTTCTCGCTCGCTGCTTCTCTTTTCTTTCTCTGTCTCTGTCTCTGTCTCTGTCTCTCTCTGTCTCTCTCTTCTCTCTCTCTCTCTCTCTCTCTCTCTCTCTCTCTCTCTCTCTCTCTCTCTCTCTCTCTCTCTCTCGCTTCACTCTCTTCTCTTTCTCTCTCTTGCTCGCTTCTCCTCTTTCTCTTCTCTCTCTCTCTCTTCTCTCTCTCTCTCCTTCTCTCTCTCTCTCTCTCTCTCTCTCTCTCTCTTCTCTCTCTCTCTCTCTCTCTCTCTCTCTCTCTCTCTCTCTCTCTCTCTCTCTCTCCCTCTCGCTCCTTTCTCTTTCTCGCTCGCTCGCTCTCTCTCTCTTCTCTCTCTTCTCTCTCTCTCTCTCTCTCTCTCTCTCTCTCTCTCTCTTCTCTCTCTCTCTCTCTCTCTCTCTCTCTCTCGCTCTTTCTCTCTCTCTCGCTTCTCTTTCTCTCGCTCGCTTCTCTCCGCTCTTTCTCTTTCTCGCTCGCTCCTTCTCTCTCTCTCTCTCTCTCTCGCTCTCTCTCTCTCTCTCTCTCTCTCTCTCTCTCTCTCTCCTCTCTCTCTCTCTCTCTCTTCTCTCTCTCTCTCTCTCTCGCTTTCTCTCTCTCGCTCGCTTTCTCTCTCTCGCTCTCTCTCTCTGCTCACTTTCTCTCTCTCTCTCTTTCTCTCATTCGCTTTCTCCGCCTCTGCCTCGGTGTGTTTATCTGTTTCTCATTCTCTCATTCTTTTTATCTGTCTCCACTCCGGGGCTTCACCCCTCACCTCTCTCATTGTACATTCAGTATCGTTAACTCCGGGGCTTCACCCTTCATCCCCCAATCTCATCTTTTTCTCTCTTCCTCCTCCTCTCACCCTCTTTATCACAGTCTGTCTATCTCTCTTTTTTCCTCCCTCTCCCTCCCCTCTTCCCTCCCTCTTATCCTTATCCTCACCTTCCTTCCCCCCCTTCCCCCGCCGCTCTTCCCTTCACAAACAAACAAACAAACACACAGACACACATGAACAAAGAAACAAAAGAACATAAAAAATAGATAAAACAAAACCATATAACATTTAAAAAATAACTAACAACAAAAAAAAAAGAAACAACAAAACGAAAAGAGGAAAACTAACACCACCCAAAAAAACAAAACAAAAACACAAACAAAAACAGCAAGAAATAAAGGGAAAACCCGCCCCCTTAGGCCATGTCAGTCAACAGGACGAGACAGGGTGAGTGGATTGTCAGTGTTACGTTTTCTTTTCCAAGCTTCAGGCAAGTGGGTTAATGCTCAGTTTTCATCTCCATGGGAAACTTGTAAGAATTTCACCTGTTGCATTTGCCTGGTATGGTTTTAGTCTTTTTCCTGCGAAGGTCTTGGGTAGGAGGGAGGGAGGGGGGAAGGGAGGAGGGGGAAGGGGGAAGGGGAAGGGAGGGGGAGAAGAACAAATTGTCTTCGGATTTTTTTTTTTTTTTTTTTTTTTTTTTGTATATAGGGTATTGGATTTATTTTGAAAATCAATGCTAATGATGTTGTTGATATCACTATTATTGGGACTATCACTCCCACTGCTGCTACTACTAGTACTACATCTACTGCTACTACTGCTACTAGTACTACTACTACTGACAGTTATGATAATGAAAATATGAATAGTTATATTAATAGATATAAAGATAATATCATGGTAGTGAAAAACTATCGCATTAACATTAACAATAATGACAATAATCTGTATTGATAATAGTGATGAAAATAATGATAATGATAATAACAGTCATAATGATATCTAATAATGATGATATCAATAACAATTAAAATAATAACAACAAGACCCCCCCCCCAAGAAAGAAAGAAAAAAAGGAAACAAAAGAGCAAAATACATCTATTTACAGCATGTTAATGACCGCCCCCCCCCCCCAACAACACACAAAGAAAAAAAGAGAAAAAATGAAAAGAAAAATAGAAAAGACGAGAGAAACCCCCATCTATTCACAGTATGCTTATGGCACCTGGACACAATTCCTTGTTGACAGTCTCTGGCTCTGCGCTGCCACGGAAGAAATCAGTAAATTACATTATAATGAGCTAAGGACATGTAGGAGTATGAATGGGACTATCATAAAAAAGAAATGGCTAATTAGATGAGAGAGAGCGCGTTTTTAATGGTCTGTAGTTGCATTATGAGCCTTATGTCCATTTACGAGAAGTATTTAAGAGGAAAGGAGACTTATTCTGTGAGCTTATTACGTTTAATGGAGATTTGCTTTATGTATTCGTTATACATTGTGTATTTCTGTCTTTCGTTCCAATGGAGTAAATCTTATTCTAGAGATTATATTAATTTATTCCTTTTTCCCTTACAATGGCTCATAGGGAATCCAAAAAAAAAAAAAAAAAAAAAAAATAGATAACGAAAAGAAACGAAAAAAAAAAACATAAAAAACAGCTTAAGGACAACGCCTACATTTTTTTCTATGTTGTACGTAATGAAGTGCAAAGAGAAGTCATCACGTATTCATGAGGATCCTCGTCACTTCATACAGCGAGATAACGAGTGTCGTCATCCTTCATTATCAAGTCCTACGAGAGAGGGAGTCTCTCCGGCACCGATTTCAAAGCCTTGGCAATGGTTCCTTCATCGCGGATTACTCTAGGTGTTTGTGCACACACACACACACACACCACACACACACACACACACACACACACACACACACACACACACACACACACACACACACACACACACACACACACACACACACACACACACACACACACACACACACACACACACACACACACACACACACACACACACACACACACACACACACACACACACACACACACACATACATACACACACTCATATATATATATATATATATATATATATATAATATATAATATATATATATATATATATATATTATATACATATACATATAACATCACAACAAACAACAGTAATAACAGTAATAATAGAACAATAAACAACAGAGATATAAAAGAGGAGTGAACAACTTGCAACAGCTGATCAGATCTGTCCTTCCTTGCAGGCAGCTCCGACCCTTCATCTCTCGGGCGAAGAAATCCCCTTCGTCTTCCCCGAGCTGCGTCCTGCGTGACAGAG